AAATACAACCCTCCTCTCTCTCTACCAGTGCCAATCGTCATCTTCGTTCGATTGTCCTGAAATACACAATTAGTAGGTGAGAAGATGACAGAGCAATCAAGATGCTTTGTAATTCTACTAATAGATAAGAGATTAGTGGAAAAAGTAGGTGCAAGTAAAACGATGAGAGAGAGAAAGTAGGTGAAAACAGACCCCTCCGGCCCCAGTAACTTTAACAGAAGTCCTATTAGCCACTTGAACTGACTGAACGGGAGTTGTCAAGCTCCAAGAAAATGGAATTAGTTTCAGTGTATTACGTGACAAGAGGCCGCCCTTCTTGCTACAGCTGAAATGATTTTTTCATTAATTCATAAACTTGTGACGAATCAGAGACATCAAGTTAACTTCTCTTAACCACATCCCACACATCCTTGGATGTGTCAAACTGAACGAAGTGGACCACAAGAGTATCGATCATAGAGTTAATAAACCAAGACTTAACGATAGCGTCATCGCCATCCATTCACCATAGCTACTATCATTTTCTTTTGGTACAGTTAGTTCACCGAAAATGTGAGCTCTTTTCTTCTGGCCAGTGATACGCATTTCCAGTAATTTTGACAACACACGATAGTTAGTATCATCTAACTTAATGTGAATCGGAGGTGATGTCTCATGGATTAATGATGTAACTACCTTGTTATCGGCCATTACTACGAGGAGTCTAAGCAAGTAATGCAACTACGACTTCCTACTGAAGAATGATTCCTATAGTTTCAGACCTGGGAGTGCGGGAATTGAAAATACTGAAGCTACGTTGTAGCAAACTGCTCGATCAGAGGTTGACTTCTTTTTCTGAAGAGAACCACTAATAGAACCACAAAGGAGTCGACCACAACTCACAAAAGGAGCAGCCGAACAAGGACTGCGCAGAGGCCGAACGAAGCATCAATAGGGACAGACTCTACCGCCGGCAAAGAAGAAAAAAAACAACCAAGAGGTGACTCACACAGGTCACAGAAAGCCGGAAGCAGAAAAAATGCTAGAAGGCAGAGAAGCAGCGGCAGACGGGCTCACGAGGAATGGTCGAGTCGGCGAGAGGCGTAGTCGGCTGTTGAAGACGTCGCCGGCGTCTGGGTAACAGAGGAGCCGGAATCGGCGCCAACTGGAGTTCGGTACTGTAGCGCTTTGATACCAAGTCGATTTTGGGAGAGAAAAGTATATTATTTATTGATAAATGTAAACCCACGATATATACAGGAGGGAAAAGAAAAATTGCACTTTAGTCCCTAACAATAACAAAGACTACAAGTTGGTACAATACTACTATATATTTCAACTGTTCCCATTATAAATCTTTCCAATCCATAATTGTTCAACGTTGTCCCTTTACTATGAGTTGCAGAAAACTTCTTTTGGAATTCCCTTCTGATGTGAGTTATCAATGTTTAAACAAAGGCAAAAGAACACACGCTTTTGACTTCCTTGGAAGATGTTCTACTTTCTTGGAAAGTCCATGGAACCTGCTTCTTGTGGTAGTCCTTCCTGAAAACATTGCCAGAAGTTGTACAATTGTTTGGAAAGTCCTTTTTATAGGATGATTTCTTGAGGTTTTAAAGAAACTAAAAGCTATAACTTTAAACATGGACTCAAATTATGGCTTAAAATCTGACTCCAAAAGTTGAGCTACGGATTCTACCATTGGAGATTGTTAGTGGTTATGGTTTTGATTAATTTGGTATTTAGATTTATTTTTTCAGATTTTTTCTCCTTAATTGATGGCTGATATGCTATAGCTCTAAGTGGAATTACTTGGTTACTTGTAATAATATCTTTTTGCCTTTTAAATTTTTAGTCACAGAGACAAGTACTTGTGAAGAAATTTGATTAGTAAAAGTCGAGAGTTTAAGACATGCAACATGCTAGGTGATTTTTGATAAATTAAATGTCTACAATGAGTTTAAATTTGGTGCTGAGAGAAGAAAGTTGTAGTTGTATGTTAAATGGGTCTCTCTATATGGTTACAGTTATGACCTATATGCCACAAGATTTCCGGGGTACTCTGATCAGGCAACAGAGAGAGCGCTCTGAGAAGAATAAGCAGGCCGAAATTGATGCTTTAATTAATTCTGGTGGAAGTATACGTGATCGATATGCTCTGCTATGGAAACAACAGATGGAGCGGTGACATTCTATTCACATATTTCTATTATCTGGAACTACTAATGACTGATTTACCTAATTATTGGCGAAATTCTCTTCATACAGAAGGCGACAGTTAGCTCAGCTGGGTTCTGCAACAGGTGTCTATAAGACTCTGGTGAAATACTTAGTTGGAGTGCCACAGGTATGTCTTAATTGGCTTCATGGTGCATTGTAATGGATGTACATCTTTCTGGTGGCATCAAGTTCTTGGCCTTCTTTTTAGCCTCTGCTTTCACACCTGAATCTTTATGCTTAACTACAGGTCACTTATTTTTTATCACAATAATCATATTATTTGCATTTTTGCTTCATCAAATTGATTAGTTGTATACTTTGTCTTACAATACTGCAAGTGTTGCAGGTTCTACTGGATTTTGTTCGGCAAATAAACGATGATGAAGGGTACTTTTGCTTACATTTGGTCACATTACTAGTTTTTCTTGTTCTCTCTTTTTTTTTTGTTTTTTAACTCTCTTTATTAGTGAGAACATATATTTCTGTGCACACTCTTTGAGTTTGAATTGATCGTGTAGTAATATATGCCAATTTTCTTCTGGAAACAATGTTATCACCAGGCCCATGGAAGAGCAGCGACAGCGTTATGGACCACCTTTGTATAGCCTTACCAGACTGGTGCTAACTATTCGACTTTTTCTTTCTCTTTTCTGGGGCCGTCTAGAAGCTAGTAAATTGTAAGCCTTGTTAAGATTCTCATACTTTCAGATATTAAGTTGAAAACAAACTGAAAAGTTAATAATGCTTAGTTGTAACCTGTTCTTACAAAGTTAGTGCATTTTTCACTTAGAGCTTTCTTCACATTTGTCCAATTAACAGGCAGAAGCGCCAAATATCTATCTTGGAAGAAGCAGTTGATGTTTATAATTCTGAGTTTGAAAGATATGTCAAATTTATTGGGTACCACTTCTTTCTCCTCTCTTGGTTTTTGTAGTTATTCTCGAAAAACATTTTAGGTCATTGAACAGTAATTTCCAGTTTTGATTTCTATTAGGTGCTGTGATTAATATCTAACTTGACTAGTAGTGTTTAAGATCATCATATCCTTTCATGTGCCAGATTATATGCACCTCATCCCTTTGATGGGTTCCCCCTCATCAACCTTCTTAGTTTAATTTGTTGTAGTGTTGTGATCTATACTAATGTTCATCGCAATAGAGCTCTATGGGATCATGTTCTCCATTTTTAGTCAGTTCAGAATAAAATTTAAGCCATGTACTGCAAATCAGCTTCTACATTTGATCTTGCAAGTTGCAACCACTAGTTCTTTTATGCTTCTCCATGTTATTAAATTGCATCCATAAACATGCAATATTCAGAAGCATACTGCCATGGTCCCCTTGTCCCACATCGGGAGTTCCACATGAAAATGTGGGGTTTATAACCCTTTGGACACTCTCCCCTTATCAGCTAGCTTTTGAGGGTGAGTTCTACCCAAGGGGTTGTGACATTGGTATCAGAGCAGGCACCACGTTCCCCGATTGCAAGCGAGCGGCGCAGATGGTGACGCCGTCATAGCAGTGTTCGTCCGGGACTAGCCATGGGATAATGTAAAAAGCTAGAGGGGCTAGTGCAAAGCCAGTCCGGCGTGGGCGTCGGGATCGGAAGCGTGGTGATTTGTCATGGTCCCCTTGTCCCACATCGGTTTATAACCCTTTGGGCACTCTCCCTTTATCAGCTAACTTTTGAGGGTGAGTTCTACCCAAGGGGCTATGACATTGGTATCAGAGCAGGCACCACGAATGGTGACGTCGGTATTGCACCTAATCCAACATCAGAAGTTTAGGCTGATGATGTGGGCTTTATATTCTTTTGGGCACTCTCCTCTTATTAGCTAGCTTTTGAGGGTGAGTTCTACCCAAGGGGTTGTGCCACATACCTTACTGTCACTGTGTGAACCTATGCAGTCACCATCTGCTTAGGCTTCTATGCCCAAGGGGCCATTCTTTGAGAATAGAAGTCCCGTTTGGTCTTTTCCTTCGAGGCATTTCAATATTCTACATTCGTATGATCCTCATTTGGAGTATGCATATTTAGACTAACAATCCTATGGCAAAGACAATATCTGACCTTGTATGGTACAAAATAAATTAGCTTTCTTACTTATCTTTGGAACCTCTCTTTATCTATATCAACACGACAACAGTTGATGTGACTACTTCAATTTGGTGGTTAAAATCAGTTGATGTATCTCCTTGATTACTCGCTAGTATGTCAGTATCTTTAAGGCCTATAGAATATTTTTTAAATCAGTTGGCATGTCTCCTTGGTAACTTGAGTTCATAAGAAATACCTTAGGCTCGCTATATTCTTAATTACAAATTCTTAGCTAGGGAATTCTCAAATGTCTAATATATGCTAAATTGTTACTGACTGGCCGCTCACCACTGCGTACTTTCCATCTCAGAAGAAAATTGAATTGTGTGGGATAATTTGTATCAGTTATACAGTTAATATGGAGCATGTTTGGCAAAGCTTTTGGTAGATTATAAGTGGTGGTGGGTCCTACGAAACATGTGGATAAAAGTAGGTAAAAGTTATAGGTCCTACAGAGAATTTATGAATAAAAATAGAGTTTAACTGACTTATGCATGCACCCTTATTATAAAGGGACGCTGAAGTTTTCTAACCTAGCCTGGAGGAGTTACATCAATATATAAAATTAGTATTTCTATTTACAAACTTTTTTCTTTCTAAGTGTTTCTTCAAACCCTGTGGCTGCTCCAGCCTCCATGTAGATTTCTCCTCAAAGTCTTCATGGAAGCAAACATTTCTAACAACTAGACTATGTATTGACGAATCCTGATTGACAACATGTTCAAGTAGACACGATGTGAACTCATTTTGCAGTGAGAATCTAGTGATAATGGGTCCCATAAATCTGGGTGAATCCTTTTGATAATGCCTGGCCTTGTACCGATCTATGGTTTCATTAACTTCTAATTTTCCTAATAATTCATGCATCTAACAGCGTTGTTTATGAGTGGTAGTTCCACAAATTCCCATGTTTATTTCTGGTAAGAGCTCTCATTTGACATTTCTTCATGTTTTATCTCCATTTTCAATCTTTAAAAGCCTCCTATTTGGACTTATGAATGATCACACCCAGAATATTAGTAGACAAGTCGTGATATGATGCCGAGTTCAGATATGATGCCTTTGCTGAGGCTTACAAGGATATCTAAGTTGGAAAGAAACTCTTGAATAGGGTGAACCAAGCCAGTATTTTTTATGCTTTACCCGATTGTTCCATGTTCAATATATTCGGATCAGGGATTTGGTAGTGTGTAGCAGAATTTCCAGCATTTTTATTACTTTTAGAGTAGACCCAGATCCTCTTGTCACCCAGAGGGGTATGAGAATAGAAATGGGAATGCGCTGATAAAAAGACAATTTTGTTTATAACGTGAGTGCCACTCAGTTCTTTAGGAGACTTTGATGATTATAAAATATTCTCGAATCATGTCCCACCTTTTAGAGGTTGATTCACGAAGGGAGAATTTCAAGGGGTTGGGGATTGGGAGGGGGATATTGGGCAGAGATGGCTCATAATTGATTAGAAGATGGAAATACTGAACTTTGGGATTGATACAAGCCATCAATAAGGAGGACCAACATTGTGTGCATGAAATCTGTCTGTAGCTCACTGGAAACCCAGAAAGAAGAGAAGATGAGTGTGCAAAGTCAGTCTTTTTGCCAACTAACTCTTGTATCATGTGCCATGTATAACATTAAATTTTTTCGTGATTTTTCTTAATGACGAACTTTCAGTTATGCATATTGCCAAATGTGGATTTGGTGGTTTTCTTCTGGTAAGTCATAAGCTGCCTCCCTTTGGTCATCAATTCTCCAGCGTTCATTTTGTTAATCAACTTGATAGAAAGAAGAAAAAAATTACATAGTAACAGAGAATGATCTAGCATTATGAGAGGAGTCTCTGCCTGTGAAGGGAACAAGTTTTTTTTTAGCATTTCACTGTTCTCGTATTGATTTGTATGTCTGTTTTACAGGGAGGTTTTTGCGAATTCCCCCTTCTTTATTTCAGCAGAGGATGCTGGTGCATTAGAGGCGAGGTGTCTTCAGAAGTTCCTTTGCAGTTATCGTATATTGAACCTCTAACTGTGCAAGAGGGTTTAGACTATTATTATTCCTTTAGAAGCTTAGTTATTTTTGTTGCCATAAATTTTAATTGTTAACTTGCTCTGAAAACCAGGACCACCGATGATCTCAAGGAAATCAGTGTTCCGGCAGGGCAGACATATGAGGTTCGTTTTTAATATAATCATATCTGGTTTGAGTCTGTGTGTTTTAGCAAAATGTATCAATATGAGAAAAAAGCCATAGCTTTTGAGATCAGCCAACTGGAATCTAGATGCGATGCATTAAAAAAATATCCTTTCTCCTGCTCTTCAGTTTTCTGTTATGAATATGGCTCTCAACCCTTTAAAAACAAGTTATTTACCTTGGCATTGTAGAATATTAAGCACAATGAATTTTTCATTAAAACCATAGCTTCCCTACACTTGGAATACCCCAAATTCAAGAGTCTTATTTTTAGATTCTTTTGGTACTGCCTCAGTGCCTAGGAACCTGCTTTCCAAATGAAACTTTTCATCCTTTTTCCTTGTGTCTCCGAGTTGCAAAGTTGGATGCCATGCAATATTGCTATTTTGCTCCCCAAAAATTTGGCTGTACAAATTTATTTCTGAATCTTGAATACCTTAATGAAGCTGAAGCAACTGAGTCTGATTGTATTGGTGTTAACATTTATGAAGAACAATGTTGCAAAAAAATCACGATGATGGAACCTTTGCTTGAGAGAGAAGCTCTATAATTGTTAAAATGTCGTTTAGGAAGATCAGTTTTGCTGATAGATTTTTGAAGCATTATGGAAAGATAACTAAAAGGTGACCATCTCCAATTCATCCTAAATTTTTTGTACTAATGGGTTATAGGTCACATGATTTCATTTCCACAATGTTCCAGAAAGAGGTCTTGCAATGCAAAAGTTTAGAAGGAAAATAGATATCTGTAGATTTGTGGCATTTAAAATATTAAAACGTAGTGATGTGTTCTGATAAAATCAAAACATAATTCACTGGTAATTTTCCAATTTCCCCTTTACTCAATAGATAAAAGAGATTGTAGAGTATCAAAATTCTCGGTAAAACATTCTGCAAAATGTAGTTCAAGAAATTTAGGAGTTGCGAATTTGTTTTTATGGTGTAACGTCTATACGCGTGCCCACATGTATTGCCTGTTCATGTTTGGTAAGATGCCAATTTTAGGCGTAGGTAATTCCTTTTGATGTGTCCCTCTATTAAAAAAAAATGTCAAATAATTTTTTAAAGAAATAGAGTTAAGAATTATTAAATTGAGTTAAATTATAATATTAGTTTCTTTTCTTTTAGTAAATTCAGGCCTTTTTTTATTCTGTGTTGCACAAAATTTTCAACTACTATGGCGTGTTCGTGTTAACACATCGGACGTGTGTTCGACACTCATCGAACACTCTACTATTGTCGATTTTCTTTCTTTATCATAAATTTATATATTTTTAACTCAAAATTATTATTAAATAACAAATAGGTACTCATATTTAAAAATTTCAACAAGAAGATTTAATAACAAGTTTAAAACTAAATTTATACTATATAAATAAAGAATTTAATCCACATGCTAGTAACGTATCGTGTCAGTACTTTTTTTAAAAGAACACGTGTCCATATCAGTGCATCATAGTTTTTCCTTTTGAGATGAGCACACAGAATGATATTGTAAACTGTGACAAAATAAGTTGAAGAAAATAGCTGTGGATTGTGAGAAAGGTAATGCATTATTTAATAAATATATAAAGAAACTTAATTTGGATAGTTACACCTCACCACATGGAGAAAAGAGAACCTACTTGAAGATTATCTTGAACCTATAAGGTGGGACTTATGACGGGGACAATTTTGAAAGGGTTCATATTTGCTTTAGTAACTTTTACTTTTGCTCTACTTGTGGTGTTACTTATTTAGACATAGCTAACAGTCAAACTTCCACGTGACATGTATCATCCGTGTAAAAATGAAATCAGAAGTGTGCTATTTATTTAACATCCCGTTGGGATCTATATTTTTCTTGAAAATAAGATGGAGTACATTTAACTGACAGTGGTAAATAGGAGCTGCTTCCCTTTAAACATTATGCATACAACCAAAAGCTTGCACATTGACAGATATGGGATTCTAGATATATACCATTACTCCAACTGAAGTCCCGCTAAGAACTCTCTTAGGTTAAGGATTCGCTTGCACATTTCGTCAAAATCCAAAATAAATCCTTCTAAGAACTTAAAGGCTAATCATGCTTCAAAATTTCAGCTAATTGTTTTGTAACGTAAGGCTCTATTATCTCAGTGTTGATGAAGATTTAGTTCTTTCCATAGCACCATATGATTATTACAATACTCTAACTAGAATGAAATTTCCCTGCTTTGTGTAGTGAATCATCTTCGCAGAGCCTTTCCCTTTTTTAGGAGGTTCTAGTCACATTATCCCAGATTTCCTTGGCGGCGGAAAAAAAAAAAAAAAAAGAAATGACTTGCATCTTGCAGATTCCTGGAGAAATTTGATTAATCAACCAATTCATAATGTGAGGATTTTTTGCCTCTCAAGAAATGTTAGAAGGATCCCCTAATTTTGGTTCATTAACGGTGCCATGGAGGCAGTCCATTTTCCTCTACTTTCGAAAAAAATAACCCTACTTTGTGAAATGGTTGAACAGATTGAGGCCACTTGGGAAAAAATTTCCATCGATTTTGGGAGTAATATGAAAGATAGGATTCTCAAAGTGAATGGTTGGTTTTATTGCTGTTTGGGCGGCCGTGTAGTTTCTTCCATTTGAAAAACAATTGACCGGAGAGAAGATGGGTATGGAGGCTGGAAATAAAGTGAAAAAAACAAAAGAGGGAACAAAAGCAACAGATGCTGTAACCAGATTGGGTAATGTAAAAGTTGGATTCAACTTTCTGGCTCCAATACCATATTTGCAGGAATAGAGAAGAAGAATTAAATGGAATCATTTATAATTCCTCTAACAAATAAGAGAGGCCAGCATACGTTCTATTGGTAATAATCAATCACAATAAACCTAGCTAATGATTCTCTAAAGTCAACGAATCAGTTGAGCTTTTAACAAAAAAACCAAGCACTTCTACTAGTGAGGTCTATACCTTGCGCAAAAATGAGGTACTTGGAAAATCAGCTTTTAGCTTCTCAAATATTATTCCCTTGAGATGACCTGATGTCTTCTTTCATTTTATTTGCAAAATGATGTTGATATGTCTGCAAAAATGGATTGCACATCCTCTTTTCCTACTTGTATTTGGTTTGGTTGGAGCATAAATATATTTTGTTTGCTGCTTTTCTGGCTATCTTCTGTTCTACTTTCTGTAATATTATCTCATTATTTGAATGATTACATCTTCTAGGTGTCTTTGACAGTGGATTCTATAAATTCGTACATTGCTTGGGATTTCTCATTGGTGCAGGGCAAAATGAATTTGGTATTTTCTCAAACCTTCTACTATCTTCATTTTATAATTCAATACTACAGGGAAGGTTTGAAGATGTAAGTAATCTTCATTATACTTTATTAAATTTTTCTTATTAAATTCAGTATTTTTAATCAAATAGACAAATACTTGACTGATGCAAAGCATGAATACTTGCAAGTTGCAACAAAAAATGGGGTTAAACTTCAACTGTTGGTATCAGCATGGAAACCCCTTCCCTATCAAAAAATATATAGATGGAGAGGAAGAAAAGAAAATAGAAGTAATGAAAAAGAATTATGGCTGAGGGATTTATTTGTACTTCTTGAGAGTTGAGACCAGTAAGTAGAGCATAGATATTTATTATAAAATAACTTAGATAAATTGCTCAAAACATAAAGAATTTTGAGTGGTAAGAAAATTGTAATTTTTCAATAAATTTAACTGAAGGGTTTCAAACCCTAAACCTTCACCTCAACGTGTGAGTCAGTAGTTACTGTGCCACAGGCTTTGACAATAGCTTTGTAGCAATACGTTTAATATTCATATTGTGTTCTACCAAATATATAGGCTTCTCACTAATATTTACTATAACCTGTTAAAAAAGGGCAATCAGAATGGATTCCAACATTTGTCCGTAACTCCGGACGTATAAGTCTCAGGAAACCCTCACCTGAATATTCAGAGTCCTTTGGGACACATGCACAATAATTTTTGCTTCTGCACAAATAATTTACAATTTCTGGACTAAACTCACATTTTATCCTATCTTTCGATTACGAGTTTGTAGCTGCAGCGCGTAATGCCAGAAAAATCTCTTTTATGAATGACTTGATGCATTAAAACTAGGGTGTTTTGATTTCTTTAGGATTCAAAATATGACAATTTGTTGATAAGCAAATAGCATATAGTGTTCTAGTGGCTTTTAATCTGTTGCTTGATCCTTTTATATCTTTCTATATTTCTTGTAAACTACATCACAGCAATACTATTGGTAGTTTCAAAACTTGACATTTGATGGCAATCACAAAAATATGAACATTCTTGTTTTATCTGCATTTGTATGTCATTAGAAGTTCATGATTAAGCAGATACATGGTATAAATTTCCTTTTAAAATTTATATTCTATCAGGATATTGGATTCAGCGTGGAGTGCACTGATCCTTCTGGAAAAAAAACAGTAAGCTCTTGAAGTTTGGGCACCTAAATTTCTGCCATATTACATTATAAGGCATTCATTCACACTAGCATTTTACAGCAGCCTTTTCTGAAGGAAACAAAAAATGAAAAAGGAGGAGAATCTTTTTTGTTTGTTCTTGTTTAATCATTCTGACCTTTGTTTTTGGTTTTTATGTTCACGATTGAGTTATTGTGTTGCTTTATCCACAGCTGATCTTACCTTACCGGCGTTACGAATCTGACCAAGTGAGTTGTTGCTTTTCTTCGATTCTCTACAATATAGATGGGATTTCTCAACTATTGACTTCTTATTTTATTTCCTTGCAGGGTAACTTCTGCACATGCGTGTCGGGAAACTACAAACTCATCTGGGACAATTCGTATTCAACCTTTTTTAGAAAGGTAAGTAGATGAATTTAAATTAAGTCTTATCTCTAAAGGGGATTAACATTCTGCGGAGTTATTGCTGGTGAAAAATAACTTATAGTCAGATTGAAATCAATAATATCATTTGAATCATAGTATTTTGGGGCAAGGAATGTTTACTAGAAATATCTGTGGGGTTCCATCCAGATACAATTTACACAGAGATCATGAAATCATCTCTGGAAATTTGTGTAATTGAGTACGACTGTCTATACAGTGAACTCCTATTCTGTGCTAACACCCAAAGTAATATATATCCTCTAAATGATAGAGATCCTTCAAAGAAACCTAAAAATTTAATAAATATATCTGCGATGCTATTCTGTTCCCCGTAATTTCCTTTGTCCTTGTTCATATTAGCCGAATCTTTAAATCTTTTGATCTCTTAACATTGACTCAACTTGGCTTCCTTTTCCCAAATTCATTCTCCCTGTAAATGTGATTATTTTCTAATTTTGTAAAATCATTATCCACCCCTAAAATTATTCTCAGTTCCATAATTTTTTATGTTCTTCCATATTTCTAATATTCAAGGCACTTAATTCAATGTGATTCAAGAAATTCCTGGAAGACTTGAAACCTTGTTATTGGGATCTGTTCTGTTCACTGTGATTTGCTTCTCTTTCAGGAACTCTTTAAATGGTTCCTCGTGATGCTTAGCATCCTGCTTAGCCTCATATGTGGCTTCAAGCATATTTTGTTTGACATTACAGAAAAAAACTTGAGTAATCCCCAGGAAGAATTGAAAGTGTATTATTAGGGTTTCTTGTCTTCAGCGTGGTTAAACTTTCACAGAAAACTGTGACTTGTTCTACATGCTGCATACCTTCATGCTTCAAGTGTTGCTAATCTTACTATCGTAGAAAAATATCTTTTATGGTCTCTTTTGGTGTTTCCCACATTGTTCAGAATTTGATGCCCAATCATTGTTCATGTTATCTCATGTTTATCATAAAGCTGTAGCATTGCTTTTATGCATATATTGATTATTCCTTATCATCCCTGATTATTTCATGTTAGGAGTGTAATGTTCTGTACTTATTTGACACTATGAAAGATGAGAAATTGAAGAGTGCATTCTGAAGACATTGTAAATTTTGTTCTTGTAAAGCTTATATGCAGGTTTCTGTAGGTTGAAATCGTGCCGGTAGTTTTTTCAGTTTTGTCAATTATTTTTTATTACATATGAAGTTTTAGTTATTTTTCTCCTTGTTAATGATGATACTCTGGTGGGTTAGATTGTCAGGAATTGGTTTAGTTGCATTATCACCTACCTCGTCTCCCTTTAGAAGCTTTCGTAGGCATCTGTACCCATTTTTGGTAACTCCCATTTTCAGAATTATTACACGACATAGCACACCACCATGGGAAATGTTGAGGAAGTTGTCATTTCTCAAGCACCTGGCGTTGTTTACAACAACATTGGTCTTAAGCCAAGGTGTTATATTCCCTAAACATGATTTGAAGTGATTTTGGCATTGTAAAATATTTTGTTTTGAGATGTACCGCTAATGGACATACGGACTTATCATTCTTGCATCAGCATTGGAAATAGATCCTCGTAGATTGATTTACTAATTAAATTTAAATATTGGATTGGGTCAATTCTGTTTTTTCTTAATCTGATATGTGGCTTTGGTTTGAAACAGGTTCTGCGTTACAAGGTGGACTGTATTCCTCCAGTTGCGGACCCTCTGCCTGTACTTGTACCTGTACCTGTACCGGCAGTTGATCAATAGAATGCTGAAAAAATCTACCGTGAACTCTAATATGTATCCCATCAGCGTCTTTCCAGTTTCTTTCAATTGTTACTCTCTGCCCTGCTCACCTCACCTTATGCTGGTGAATTGTGTTCGGTGTGGATATTTCGTGTTTTACATAAACCCTGTTATTCATTGATGTAAAAGGTTATAAAATATAGTGGTCAACTGGAGTTACGAAGGAAGGATATGTGAAATATGGGTGATTATTACCGGTTCCAAGTGTGTAATATTTATAATGCAAAAAGATTCTTGCATATTCATGCAAAAACATGATTGATAAGGAATGTCAACGTGTGTCCATCAAGAGAAAGTAGTTGGGATTTGATATTAGGAGCAATTCTATGCATCACTAATGGTGATATTAAGCCATTTTTGGTTTGGTTAAAAATTAGATTTTTAATAAATTTTAATAAAAGTTTACGTGTGGTTGAAAAGTTGATGAAAGTTGTGGGTTTTATGAAATGTGTAAAGGAAAGTATGTTTGGAAAAAAAATGAGTTTAAAAATTGGGGCCAAATAAGGGTTAAATAAGATGTACAATTAAATGAGTCACATAATTGTACCGTTAATTGAGAATATAATATAGAGTTACATAAATTGGTGTTGTAGAATCGTTAGTGTTAGATAGCATAATTTGGTTCAGTCTCTCTACAACTCTTCACTTTCAGACATATAGTCTACATTGATAAAGGTGGGTTTAGTTCAAGCATTTTTTCTAATTTCAATTCCTTTTGTTCCGAGGGTCCGTTGTCTCGAGTGTAATAAATAATAATTAAGAGAGCACAATACTGCGGATGGTGGAGGGTGGAAATTATACTGAAAATGGTTGAAGGGACTACGACTTAAGTAGGGGGTTTGGCTTGATGACAAATTGTTGGAGGCTTTACGGAAAAGTACCAAACTTGACTTCTTATAAATAATACAAAAAGAGACCTAAAGGAGGCTTTTAATATTGTAATACTTCAGTGTCCATTTCAATTAAAGAATGTCCATTTGACGTTGAACTGTTTATATTTGACTTCAAAATGTATTTGGGTTAAGAGGTATTTTAAATGTTAAAAATTAAGATGATAATACATTTGAGTTTGAAATGGATATTTTAAGGATACATTTTAATACACGCTTTCAGAGTCATTTACGTACGATTTTTTAAGTCAAATGGACACCTTCAATAGTAATACATGTTGGAATTTGGATTAAAGATTGGAAAATTTAGTTAAGTGTAAAATTTGAAATGTGACTTTGTGTCACCTTCGGTCAAATATTCGGACTTGATCCTATATTCAAATTATAAATATAAATAGACTAACGTGTTGTACTTGTCAAGTAAATCACAGTGGTATATTTGAAATCTCAAAACCAATTCCGGATGAATGAGAAATTACAATCCAAAGTTGGAAAGAAAAGAGGAAAAACTAGCCGTGAAATTTGTCAAACTCCACCGCTCGCCTAACACTTGAGCGATGAATTTGTCTAACTTCATCGCTCGTCTAACACTTGAGCAATGAGACTATCGCTCGAGCGACAGGCCGGCGACATAGTTTATGATGAACTAGTGTCACTGTCGCTCGAGCGAGAGGCCAGAGACAAACTAGCAACAGCAAGTAATGCTTTCCTTCGTGAAGGTTGTTGAGTTTGGAGCGTGACACTTCACTCACAAATTCTCATCTTCTATAAACCGGTTAGAATATCTATTTTGTTTGGCCCAGATATTATAACATATATGGTAGAAAATAATCCAAAAACTTTCGATAAAACAATGTCTAAACCGAAAGCACTACATTGGAAAAAAAACTATCAATAATGAGATAGATTCTATAATACAAAATCATACTTGAAAGTTAGTTGATTTACCTCCCGAAAATAAGCTTTTAGGGTGTAAATTGATCTTCAAAAGGAAACTAAAATCGGACGAATCCATTGATAAATATAAGGTTAAATTAGTTGCCAAGGGACATAGATAAAATGAAGGACTTAGACTTCTTTGATACCTATTCACCTGTGATTAAAATCACAAGTAAACTTTGTAAATTCACAAGTAATCAAAACCATGATACCTATTCACCTATACTCGATCTGTGATACCTAATCAAAACCATGATGATTGGAAGGCTTTAACAAGGGTTCTTAGATACTTGAAGTATACTTTTACCTATGGATTACACTTCACAAAATATCTCACGATATTGGAAGGATATTGTGATGCAAATTGAATATCCAACATGAAGGATTATAAGTCTACTAGTGGTTATGTATTTACCATTGGTTGAACTGCTACATCTAGAAGTCGACAAAAAAATGTGTATATCTCGATCAACGATGGAATTGGAGTTTATTGCTTTGGACAAGCTGGAGAAGAAGAAGAATGGCTTCGTAACTTATCAGAAGATATTCCATATTGGCCTAAACCGGTACCTTCAATTCGTATACATTGTAATAGTCAATCGACTATTGGAATGGCTGAAGAAAACATATATAATGGTAAGTCTAGACATATACGTCATAGACACAATATCATTAAACAATTAATCTCTAATGGTATCATCTCCATAAATTATGTGAAGTCATATATGAGAATATCGCAGATCCACTTGCGAAAGATTTACCTATGCATCAATTACATTGTCTATCGAAAAGAATAGGATTAAAACATACTACGTAAGAATCTTTATTATGGTAACCCTACTTTGTTGACTGGAGATCTCAAAATCTTAGTTCAAGAGAACAACTAAGTTATGAAAATTGAATGAAACACTTAAGAAAAATGTTTCATAACTCATTCTTATGATAATTAAAATGCTTTTTACATAATGTTATAAGTTAAGATATGTTTTTAATGATTCATATATAAAACTTAATTAAGTCAAGTAGAGTAGGGTAAATTCTCTTAATAGGAGGTCACCTAATGTAAGTGTGAGGGGAGGCTGCTTCAAAGTTTGAATAAAGCACTCAGGGAAATACTTCCCAACTCATTCCTATGATAATTACAGTGCTTTCTGCAAAGTGTGAGGTTAAGCTCCGCTTTTAATGATTCATATATCTTGATTAAGTCAATTAGAATATGGTATAATACTCTTAATAGAAGGTCACATATGTAAGTGTAAGGTGGGGCCGGCTCAACGAAAATGGTTCAAAGCATAAATTTTCTAAATGATTATAAAACCGAAGAGTTGTTCTGGTTCAAAATGAACCAAGTCATGATAACCATAAATGATTTAGGAAAGACATATGTGTGAGTATTATTGTCTTGTTTACACCAACGGTTGAATGGTTCAAAACATCAGTTCACCAATCAGGCAAATAAATTCGATAGTATTTCACTAAGGAAGGTTCAAGGACGAAATCTACCTTACCTGATGCAGTGTTTTTCTGCTCCCTCTCTCTCTCTCTACAATCATCATATTTTTGCATAGCATGAGCATATTTGAATTTCCATTCATATGAGAGATTGTTGGAATTTGGTTTAAAAATTGAAAAATTTAGGTAAGTATAAAACTTGAAAAGTTGTGTTAAGTTCAGTCAAATATTCGGACTTGATTCGATAGTTAAATTATAAATATACATAGATTAACTTGTTCTACTCGTCAAGTAGATTGCCGTGGTACTTTTGGAATTTCAAAACTAATTTCGGATGAATAACAAATTATGGTTCAAAGTTGGAAAGAAAAGAGGAAAAACTAGTCGGGAAATTTGTCTAACTCCATCAATCGCCTAACGCTCCAGCGATGAGACTGTCGCTCGAACGATAGAGTTTCTGATGAACAAGTGTCACTGTCACTAGACCGAGAGGCCAGGGACAGCAAGGAATGCTTCCCTTCGTGAAGGTTACTGAATTTGGAGCGTGACACTTTACTCACAACGTCTTTTCTATAAATGGACCCTTTGAACATTCATTATGCATTTCATATCATTTGCATTAAGCATTATATCAAAAATTCTTCAGAAAACATCTTCTTGTAGAGAGAAGAAATTCGTTTGATTTCGTTGTTGATTGTGGTTTGAAGTGCTTCTACCACAAGTTGTATCTGTTGTATCTTGGGAGACAAGTGTCGCAATCTGTTCACAAGGAGAAAGTATTAATCACTTGCCTCAAATTTTATTATTCATCTTTTCTTCTTTTTCTTTCTTCTTTTAAACTTCTATTTCATAAAGTTTAATTACACTCATGGGAATTAAATTTAAACTATTTCTTTATCAATTAAATAAACAATCATTTCTCTATACAATATCACCACTTGAATGTTATAATAATATTTTATTATTTTTCAGTTTATATGTGGAGAGTCAAAAAGTATACATGTTCTTCCTGCAATTTTTGAGAAAATATGCGCAAGTAAAGATTCATTGATAAGAATGGTAGGAGGATTTTTAGTAAAATGTGCTATTATGATGGTTTAGCTTATGGTCTGTCAGTCAGTATTGTAAAGAATTTTTATCCTTTTCATGTTATTTCTGTCTTCATCATTTTCAAAGCGTGTTTGAGATAGGTCGTGCATATCTTGAATAATTGAGGTGCTTGGGATTCACAATCATGAATTCTTGCAAGACTATGGAAAGAGTATGTAGTATCAGGCTACTAGTAATAGTAGTTGAGAAGTTGATTTATAACAACAGAGATGCAAATAGAGCTAGACAAAGCAAGTCTTACAATTTCAAGTCGCGGAAACACCACAAAGTTTGTTAAATATGAGACAGACTGCCAGCTCACCGGGGAAACTCCCAAACTCACGAGATGTATATCTGCGGTCATTGTGTTATAAACATGACACATCTTCATATGCAAGGGTTTAATAATCAAACGATGGCAGGAAAGGTTCCAAAAGTGCAAATGAAGAAATCTTGTAAAAGAAGAGCATACAACTGTGTCTGTAACAGCTCTCTGAAATGGTACTTGTAATTTACAATGATCACCAAGTCTTATTGGTATATCAATGATGAACAACCTCACTCGCAATCACCATTACAATATACATCGAGTAGAAATAAGAAGTAAATCAATTTACTAACCAAAGCTTCTTCTCTCATCTAACCCGGCATGCAGCAGAGCCACCTGGGGAACAACTTGGGTTGGAAGAACGGCAACCAACAGCACTGCCAACAGTCCCACCAAATCTGTGATGCATCCTATAATCTGGAATCCTTCCAGACACAAATGGACTCCCACCACACATAAGAGTCGGCGTTATTGATGATGATGATGATGAGACTTCATACACTCCACTACTGCCCTGTAAAGGCTCCAAAGTCTCAACTACGTCACTCATTAAAGGTCTAGCTTTTGGGTTTTGGCTCAGACAATAATATGCCAAGCTGCAAGCTTTCTGTGCTGCCCTTACTGAGTACTGATTCTCTAATCTGGGGTCTATTATTTGAAGCATTTTTCTCTTGTCATTTAACTTCGGCCTGGCCCAATCTACTAAACTTTGCTCCTTGCTTGGCCTTGTTTTGTCCACGGACTTCCTTCCTGTCAACAGCTCCAGAAGAACAACCCCAAAACTGTAAACATCACTTCTGGCAGTAAGGTGCCCTGCCCATGTCAAGCCAACATAATTCAAATAAGTGAGAGAACAGAGGGACAACAATCAATGATTCTCAAGATCCACAATTTTTGGAATAGGACATACCAGAAAATGAAATCAACATGAAAATATAACATCCAAAAAGACATAGCTCGCATTATTGATAAAATTAAGTAGCGATCTTTCCGTTTCCAAGATGCATGATCCATAATTAACCAGCAAATTGGTTATTGGGCAGTGAAAATTGTCCTGTAATAGGATTGCCTGCCAACAACTCTGATTGCTCAATCAATAAATTTACATGTATTATACGTGTACGTGTGTGCCATAATGCATAAGTAGCTATCTTGCAAATAGGAAATAAACTTTGAAACCAACATATGTATCAAGTCTGTGCGATAACATTATGGTATCATGTTTTCAAAAGAAATAGCATATATGCCACTAGCTCTTGGAAGACATAGCACTATTATTGGCAGTTGCTTTGTTTGGAATCAGTTTTAATTTTGAGTCCAGTACACAATTGACCCTGAATCGTAAATAGTTAAGTCAAACAGTAGTTTGTCCAGAGTCGTGAAATGATGATTGGAATACCAAGCAAAGAGAGACATTAATAGACAACTCACAAGAAAATAAAATTTCTTGGGAGCGTAGTCCAGTTACTAGGATCACGCATTCCCAAGAAATAACTCGTCTCTCTCCCAGTATTTCTAACACACTCTTGTGCCCTCCAGACCAATATTTCCAAGTTAACAAGACATTGGGTAGAAGCTGCGATTGCTAAAGATGAAATCTCGCTGTACACGAAACTATGCTTTTCATTTATGGCGTTCTAAGAAAAAAGTTGATATGTAAAAATCTGATTTTTTTAATAAATGTTTTTTCAAAATTTAGTATCACGAGTATCATCTTTTAATTAATAGGAAAATGATTGTAATTGAGTTGAACTATATTTGATTTGTCACGTAATATATTCAAAAATATGTACTCTCTCAATCCCATTAGGTTGTTTCAAGGTTAACATTGTCAAAAAAATTATTCGAAGCATAATAATATTATTCTGGAATGGCCATTATATTTTACTCACACAATGAGAGTAAATAGAAGAACGTTAATAGTTTGAGAGCTGGCCAGGCTTCCCAAGTGAAGTATGGTTGAAGTACTGAAGAACTTGTCGTAGAAGTTGACTCTAACAAATGGCTTTGAAATTTAATTCCTTATAAAGCACAAATTTGACTCTCTTACCATATTTATAATAAAACATCACAAGCTCTCTTTAGCTGTAAACTCTTCACATGATCCATTATATCAGTGTACTTAAATTGATCGTGTCTTAACCTCCTTAGTGACCATAAACTTGGATATGAGTAAAAGATTCGACCCATTTAATCTTATTTTAAAGAGGGGTATAGTAGGTAATGAAATTGATGATTTGACTTTATTTGTAATAAAAGTAGCTTTGAAGCAAGTAGTAACCTAGATATCCTCTGTTAGATGATTGGATTAGCAAAGTGGACAACTTTGCTGAACATGGCTAAAAAAACCTTTATCACACACTTTTAGATGGATCCTCTTCTCATATTGTACTATGTCAAAGGCCATTCCTGGAACTAAACTAGAAAAACAGATCCCTTTAAAAAATAAATAAATAAATAATAATAATAAGAAAAAAAAAAGACAAGAAAACAAATCTCTAACGAGATGTCATGACGACAAAGTTACTTGTTGATACTTACAAAATAGAAGAAAATTCAACCTATTGAAATGATCATCTAATCAAGGTTGTCGGAATTGTATTTTTGGATCGGATTAGTGTATCGGATCGAAGATTGTAAGATTCTATTAAACATTAATTATTTAATAAACCAAAACAATTAATGTCAAGCATTCTATATAACAAATTAACAACTATAACTAACTAAATCAATTTATAAAATCAAGGTTGCAATAACTTGGTAAAGATCCACAATTAATTTCTGAAATTCAAAGAGAGACGCATAAAATAAGACTAACACAAAAATTTTTAAATGTCGAACCAAAACCCAAATCAAAGTATACTTCCATTGTTATTTATTTTCAAGATCAAAGTTTTAATCTGCAATTAATATTTATATGATAAACTTGTGAACGCTGATCAACATGCATATCTACAAAAATTACACAACCATAAATCATATGAACAATTACAATATAATGAACCTAGAAAATCAAGTCCACTTCTACTACTGATATTCAACAAATCAATTAGAAGTCCAACACAAAAGAATAAAAAACAAAATACATATAAATTAAAAACCAAAAAATAAATGAGCTATCTTGAATATAATCAAAGAAATGGTAGAAAGAAAAAGAGAAAAAAATTTCACGAACGAAGGAATGTCGCTGCGACGAAGAACGAATTATAACATTTTCCACATAAGGGATTCTATTTTTTTCCTCTTTGTTTTGCTTTTATTTTTAGTTCTGAATTTGGATTTCGATTCAAAACGAAACTAGGCCCAAGTGTACAACAACTTAACCTATTTAATTTATTAAAATTGAAGCTTGAAAAGTCCATAATGATAAAAGTATAAAAATAAAAATTGGAGGATCGTTAAAATCGTCAGAAAGGACACGATTGTTAAGATTGTTAGAATCCAAAAATGGAATCGTAAGATTCTAAAACTTTAAGACCCTACAACACAACCGAATTGTGTTGCTATTTCAGGATTGTAGAACTGTCTGATAGTAAGATCTGAATTGGGAGTTTAACAACCATGCATCTAAAGCTCTTAATGATAATAATCCTACTGTCGAACAATCCAATATTATACACTAGTCAATCCTTTTGTTGCGTTCCTTTCGATGTTAAGATCAAAGGGTGCTTTTTTAATAAGCAGCAAAGGGGAAAGAGTGTGACTGTACTACCCCATAAAGTCTATGCCTCGATATCAATCAATAATTCAAGTCTTGTGACTCTCAGCATTGAGATAAGCTGTCATTTCTAACATGAAATATATCTTGAGTCTTTCTCAATCAATTGTGAGATAAAAGAACATAGTTTTTGGACCAATATGATATGAAGTATTAAAAGTCATACCAGTCATGACATATTCAGGAGCTGCATAACCATAGGTACCCATAACTCGTGTTGATACATGTGTCTCATCGCCTTGTGGCCCTGCTTTAGCGAGTCCAAAGTCAGAAAGTTTGGCCGTATAATCCTGCAACACATGAACAATTTTGGAAACCCAAAAATCAAAAGGTTTGGTTGTATAATCCTACAAATAATAGAGAGAATGTAATGAATCAAAGCCACGGTATGATAATTTCAAACATTAAATTTGATTTTAGCTAATTCATTTGCTTCTTTATATTCACGCACACGAGTCAATGCAAAAAAATCATAGAGAGCTGGGGCCATTTTGTGTGTGGATGTGTAGAGAGAGAGAAAGAGAGAGTTTATGAAAAGTCCTAATAAAACCACTTACCGAGTCCAGTAGAATATTTGAAGTCTTGAAATCCCTGTAGATAACAGGTCTCTCAGCATTATGAAGGAAAGCAAGCCCTTTAGCTGCCCCAAGAGCAATCATCATCCTTGTTGACCAAGACAGTGGAACAGTTGCCTCTGGATGCCTCAGGAATTTCCAGATTAATTTTAGTTAACTAAACACTTGCTATAAAAATAAATATGGCTTTCTGAAATTGTTGCATACACAGCTTAGACATTCAAATTCTCCACAAGTATACTATTCATCAGTAAGCAGCAAAAAATATTTGCAAAAGTCCATTATCGTTAATGACTGCAACACGAGAGGTCTGAATGATCAGAGTAGCGAAGAGAAAATGTGATCTCTAAAAGGAGCAAACTCACCAGCAGTCTCAACCACATAACACTTCCATTTACATGTAATTTACAAGTCTGACATATCGAGCATAAGAATTTTTCTCCGTAATTTTGTAAACGATCATACTATCGTATATGAGGTTAGCCTCAATCACTCTTCAACCCCTCTCCGATTGCAAGTTACAAACTGCAATTTTGATGGTCATATCGTCCAATGCTAAGTTCCACAAGGAAACCAGCTTGGATTTCACCAGGTATCATTGGTTTGATAAAGTCAATGGCAGACCATTGTTCCTTTCCCTACAACCCCAACACTAAGGAAAGTGCATTAGCTCTCATCTTTGGGGAGTTCCACTATAATTTCTTTTAAACCCAAGTTATTTTCACTCAAGCATACATGTTCAAGCACCCAAATTCTAATATTTTCTTTCCTGTAATAAATGCATTGACCATTTACAAAACTTGTTTGATTAGATATTTAATAATTACCCATTAAACTGCACTAAATGTCAATTCATTGCTTTGCAATAATTTTTTAAATTGCTAATATAATTGAAACATGATGACTTCTTTAGTAATTTGCATACATGAGACCAGCTAATAATATTCAATGAAGAGGCAATAAGGCTTGTACATTGTGCACTATGCTAAAATCAAGTACACATATCTACATATGAGAAGGGCAACTAATAAATGAATAAAACAACTCCATTGAAAGGTTTACTTAGCATAAGCTTCTAAACCCACATATATTTCATTGCTATTGCTGAGTAACATATCACAGTGACTACCACTTCAACAACGATGATATATGGTAAATAGATGAAAATAAGTAAAGGTGGAAAACTAGCAGAAGCACAAGCATCAAACTAACAGGTCAAGAAAAATGTGAAGGAAGATGGAACATACTTCGGAAGAGGTGATTTTCAAGGCTTCCCCGGAACATGAATTCATAAACAAGTAACCTGTGGTCGTCCTCACAACAATATCCAATCAATTTCACCAGATTAGAATGCCTGAGCTGCCCAAGGAAGTTGACCTCCGTCTGAAATAATAAAAGAATATATTGACCAGCAAGGAACTTAAAAGCAATTTCAAGAGGATAAAGAAATCTCATTAACCACATAAAACACAAAAGCAGTATGTTGCAAGATCAAGGGGCTTAAAAAGATATGAAAGGTGGAAGGAAAAAACTCACGAGCCATTCACGGTGTCCTTGAAGGCCTTCCTTGTTAAGGACCTTAACAGCAACAGGGAGAGATTTGAGGCCAACCCTAACATTCTCATCTATGTAACCTTTGTAGACGGTTCCAAAGCCACCCTCACCAAGAATGTAGTCAGAACGGAAGCTCTTGGTGATGGTCTCGAGCTCAAACAGGGTGAAGGCAATAACATGGGTATAGAGCAGGGCATTCTTGCGAAAGTCCTCAAAGTTTCGGGGCGTTGAAAGATCGCTCAGATCTGATACGGAGCGATTGTGCTTCTTTTCTGCACCTGGATTCCTACTGGATACCGACAAGACTTGGAGCTGCTGCTGAACTGCTCATTGATTTTTTGAATTTTTTTCTAGAATTAGTATGTATGCGTGTACTGTGCATTATTATAATGTAAGTAACAGTATCTAATAAAATTTCAGTAAACATGAATCAGTGTGAAAAAAAAAATGATAATACTAACTCTAAGTACAATCTCCTTCCCATCTAAAATAAGATTTTTTGGAAATAAATTGCAAAAGCCTAATTTGAGAAACTCTAGAGTAGGAAAAATAATTAATTTGAAAAATAAAATTGACATGGGAAGAAATAAGCAAACCCTAGATCTGGTGATTGAAGAAAATGGGAAAATAGAAAAAGGGAAGAACAGAACACCTTGATGGTGAGCAGTGGAAAAAACATCAGATTCCTCTCAAGTGCCACAATTGCACATCTTCTTCAATAGCTCCTCTGCCACTAGATATTTGGAAATAACAGCAGATTCCTCTCTAGTGCCACAATTGCCCATCTTCTTCAATAGCTCCTCTGCCACTAGATTTTGGTCTCATTCTCCGGCGGACGCCAGCTTTACTTTTGTTTCTCTCCGACAACGACTTTCGTTTATGCAAATTGCACTTCTTCACGGTAAACTCTCGCCCCCCACGTTCGGACCTTTACCTTCATCAATAAATTACTAATTTTAATGGGGTGAAAATTTTTGAACTAGGGATTGTGAGGAGAATGTACGGTGGTAAAGTGATAAAAAATTTTAAATTTGTTTTTAATATTATTTTATTTAAAGAATGTGTAGTTAAATTGAAGAATGAGAATGAAGGTCAATCAAGGGCGTAGGACTCAAGGCTTGTCTGCTAGTGATTAAATTTTGAATTAAGAGTATGTTTGTGATACATTCTTTTGAAAGAATGTATTATTGAATAGTAGATTGATGGAGAATGTGTGGTTAAAAATGAAGGAAAAGTTATTGATGTGATGGAAAATATTATTTTATTGAAGAATATGTGTTTGAAAATGAGTAAAAGAATGAGAATGAAAAAAATAATGTGTACCAAACAGGGCTTTAAT